TATTATTTCCCTCATTTAACATGTATCTATTGAGTGTCTGCATTGCGCATCTAATTCTCATGAGTCCTTGAGTCATATTTTAGCATGAAGTTAAGAAAGCTTCACTGTACCTAGTAACTTTTGAAATCCCAGGCCATGTTTTTGACTATATGTATTATATATAGTCAAATATATAATATATGTTTTAAGTAAGAGAGCCCACATGTTTCCTCGGAATGTCAGAGTTCTGTTGCTTAAAAAAAATGTTTTTTTCCTCTTACTGAGGATGGAGTGCAATGGTATGATCATAGCTCACTGTAGCCTCCACCTCCTGGGATCAAGTAATCCTCCTGCCTCAGCCTGCTGAGTAGCTGAGACCATGGGTACATGCCCTCATGCCCAATTAATTGAATTTTTGTGTGTGTGGATACAGGATCTTACTATGTTCCCCAGGCTGGTCTTGAATTCTTAGCCTCAAGAAATCCTCCAACTTTTACTTCCCAAAGTGCTGGGATTACAGGCATAGGCCACCATGTCTGGTCCTATTGCTTATTGTTTATTATAGAAAGAATGTACAAAATAAATAATGTCCAAGTTATAGTCTCTGTTTTAAAAGTATTTACAATCTAATTGGGAAGATGAAGAAAGTATAAAGCCAACTCCTGAATGTGGTAAAAAGGGAACACTTTTATGCTGTTGGTGGGAATGTAAACTAGTACAACCACTATGGAAAACATTGTGGAGATTCCTTAAAGAACTAAAAGTAGATCTGTCATTTGATTCAGCAATCGCACTACTGGGTGTCTACCCAGAGGAAAATACGTCATTATATATAAAAGATATTTTCACACATGTTTATCGCAGCACGATTTGCAATTGCAAAAATATGGAACAGGCCAAATGCCCATCAGTCAACAAGAGGGTAAAGAAAATGCTACACACACACACACACACATATACACATACACATATACATACACATACCATGGACTACTACTCAGCCATAAAAAGGAACAAAATAATGGCATTTGTAGGAAGCTGAATGGAATTGGAGACCATTACCCTAAGTGAAGTAACTAGGAATGGAAAACCAAACATCATATATTCTCACTCATAAGTGGGAGCTAAGCTATGAGGACACAAAGGCATAAGAATGATATAATGGACTTTTGGGACTCAGTGGAAAGGGTAGGAGATGGATGAGGGATAAAAGACTGCATATTGGGTGTGGTGTACACTGCTCAGGTGATGGGTGCACCAAAATCAAAGAAATCACCACGAAAGAGCTTACTCATGCATGTAACCAAACACTAACTATTCCCCCAAAGCCTATTGAAATAAAAAAGGAAAGTATAAAGCCAACTAAGGCAAAATATTGTAACCAATTAATGAATAGTGAAGATAATAGACGTTTGTCTTAGAACCTCAATGAAGAGAGAGATCGTTGTGTGTCAGGGTGATTAGGGAGAGATTTTAGGGAGGAGGTCGGACTTAGCCTAGGTCTTATAATGCATAGAAATTGCCCAGATAGCCAGGAAGGAGAGAAGCACTCCAAACAGATAAAAGTATGCCAATATATCTTTGAAGTAAGGACAATCGTAAGGCATCATAATGACAACAAATAGACTAACACGGTTTGAACATATGCTTGGCTCTAGAAATTGTCATGGGAGTCAGAATTGACACTAAATTGGGGAGGGCCTAGAGTTCGAAGCTGAAAATCTTGGATGTTATCCTGCAGAAATTGCCACACAATTTTTTTTTTTTTTTTTTAAGGAAGAGTAGTGACAAATCAGATTTTTAAAATCTTTTGTTATCTGAATGGTTGCCATGGATGTTTTAAGGGCTCAGAAAATAATAATCTGTTCAAAAATCTATCTTTTGGGTTAGTTTGAGATTATTGCATGTGACTGTCAGCTCTTTATTAACAAGGGGAAAGTGCTTATTACATATTGCATAGATTATAATCTTTGACAGAGTATACTTGCTGAAAAAAACTCATAATTACCATGATTTAATGCAAATATTAGCAATGTGCAATTAGTGCAGAAGATGGAGTACTTACAGAGCTTAACTAATGACTACTAAATTTTAGTTTGAGCAGGACCAAATTCTAGAACTCGGTTTAGTTTTCTTCTCAGAAAAGAAAGAGAATAATTAAATGTATATGTCAAGTTCGTAGAGGGACAATGATCTTTGGTAGTACTAGGGTCAAAGAAAATGGCATAGGTTTAGGGTCTTTTCTTTCAGTGAATGAAATTGGGATGATAGGAAGGGGCTCTGGAGAAGAATCTGGGAGACTAATGGAGGAAAGTTCAGAGCTGACTGGGCAGAAAGGGAAGATCTTCAAAGTCAGAACTAGACTCTGATTATCACTTTCATCGGTTATTTTTTTCCCCTTTTTTGTTAGCTAAAGGTAGAAGTTGGGGTCAGGCATTATTTGAGTTTCTTTGAGAGTTTCCATTGAACAAACTGAATGTTGGAATTAAAATTAAAATTATTTTATTTTATCATTATATTTTTGAGACAGAGTTCCACTCTTGTTGCCCAGGCTGAAGTGCAATGCGGTGATCTTGGCTCACTGCAACCTCCACCTCCAAGGTTCAAGCGATTCTCTTGCCTTAACCTCTTGATGATATCTTAGCTGGGATGACAGGCAGGTGCCACCATGCCCAGATAATTTTGTATTTTTAGTAGAGATGAGGTTTCTCCTTGTTGGTCAGGCTGGTCTTGAACTCCTGATCTTAGGTGATCCACCCACCTTAGCCTCCCAAAGTGCTGGGATTACAGGCATGAGCCACCCACCCGGCCAACAATTTTAATTTCAGTCCTGAGAATAACCTTGGTGATAGCTATTTTAGCCTCACAGTTTGAAATACAAAATAATGGAGGCCCAGAAACCTTAAGTGGCTTGGACAAGGACATACAGTTAGTACAGTGAAGAAACAAGTCACCATATGTATATTGCCTGGAACAATGCCTGGTATATAGCAGGAGCTCAATATATATTTGTTGAGTGAATAAATGAATAAACCCAAGGTGTTTGATTTATTGTAGCATTCTTTCCACTCTATCATATAAACTATGGCAAATTTAATGGGAAAATAATTTATCTTTGAGGAACCAGAACCTGCTTGCACAATGTCAAAGGATAATGATCATCATGATACAGATAGGCTTACCTAGCAACATAATGCCACCTTACTGATACATATTGTATTAGTTTGCTAGGGCTGTCATAGCAAAGTACCATAGACTAGGTAGCTTGCACAATAGAAATTTATTTTCTCACAGTTCTGGGATCCAGAAGTCCCAAGATCAAGTCCCAACATCAAGGTGTTACCTGAGCTGGCTTATTCAGAGGGCCATGAGGGAAGGATCTGTTCTAGGACTATATCCTTAGCTTGTTGATGGCCATCTTCTCCCTGCAACTTCACATCATCTTCCTTCTGTCCATGTCTGTATCCAAATTTCATCTTCTTATAAGGACACCAGTCATATTGGATTAGGGCCTGAACTAACAACCTCATTTTAATTTAATTACCTCTATAAATACCACATCTCCAAATATTATTACATTCTGAAGTGCTGAGGGTTAAGACTTCAAACTCTGTTGGGGTAGGGAGGTCACAACAACACACAGAGACTGGCTTTTCTATCATAGCATTTTAAACTCTTCATGCCATTCGCCAGCAGCAGCCTAAGTGATGCTAAGAGAGTTCCCAGTTTATAGTTAAGTAGGCAATTGCCCAACAGCCTTAAGGTTCTGCCCATGCATGTGCATTATTCAGGTGGAGCACGAGGCTTGGCCTTCAGTTCCCTTGCCAGCATGCTCAAATAACAGGTAGAGGGCGTGGGCTGGCTGACTTTTTTTTTTAAAGCTACATGTTATTATAACTATGATGAAACTATACTTTCTTTTTTGGAAATTGTTTTTACCTTCTTGTAAGGTGCCACAAGTCCGCAGGGCTTTATTTTTACCATAATCATTATCGTTAAACTGTAGTGTAGCTGATGAAGTGTATATTTCAGAGGTATCCTGAGGCTGGGCATTTATAAGGAGGCTCTTGAATGAGTACCCATAGAGGGTCCTGAGGAAAGTCAGTGATGCTCTTACAGAATTTGTCTGAAGATACTTAAGTAAGAAACACAGTATACTTTAGGGGAAAAATAGTTTTGCAGTTATAAATCATTTGAAATAGATGAAATTTCAAGACAATGTCAGGGGATTCCCAGGTTCTGTCTTTGGTGGGCATCTGCCATTTGCTAAAGTGAGAGAGAGAGAGAGGCTGTGCTTCTTGAAGAAAATGCCATGTTACTCTATCAGAATGATACTCAGGAGCTATAAGCTTAGCTTTTCTCCACCACTGATAAAAATTTTGAGTGACTATAACTTTAGGGCATCTTCTCATCAGACTCTCAAGATTAGAAATGATATTGTTTTGATTAGGGACCTCTAGGACTTATTTCTAGTTATGAAATATGGATACTAAATGTAAGACTCCAGCAGGCAGCACAGGGGTGTTTGGATTATTAGATAATAATTCGATACTTCAGCCCAATTACTAGTAAGTACCTTCTGACTCAGTCACCTCATGGATTGTGTACAGATGTCAACAGGACATCTACAGTTTTTATAGTGCTGATCTGAAGTTTCAAGCCATTTTCTATTATTGGCTCATCAGAAATCAGAGACTAAGAAGCTGCTGCTTTCTCTAAAGGAAATATTAACAAACATTGGGAGCACCAGTATTTATCATGACCAGTGAGTCGCTGCAAGAAATGGTATAGAAAGCTGTGAGATCAAGAATAAAAACACTCCAGTGTGCGGGTGGAAATAGGGTTCAGGCTAACTGCAAAAAAATTGTTGGGGAAAAACAAAGAATCCCCTCTCCTCTTTTTTATATTTGGACATAGAAAATGGTAACAAGCTGCCCTTATGTGATTGGGAACTTGTGTTAGTTTCCAGACCATGACATCTTGAGTTATGAGTGATGTAGAGTTAAAACAGACAAAAGTAGTTATTTGCCAAACATTTATTATTATTTTTCACAGTCCAATTATTTCAACAAGAATGTTTCCAAGGTATTATAAATAGGCCTAAAATGATTGTGGGCTGATGGGTCTTGTCAAAGGGCCTCTAGAAAGTTGCCCCTATGTTCACACATTTTTCCTTTTTACACCCCCAATATGCTCTCTGTGATCTCTTATTGGCCCTAGAGTAAGCCAGATGTTTATGGGATTCTGAATAGCTTCCTTCTAATAAGCTAAAATTAACAAAGTTTTGTAATATTCTCAAACTCTTCAGAACTTGGGGAAGTAGAATGAACACTGTAGCCTACACCAGACACAATTTTAAAATTTGAACTCTGAAGTTGTTTGAGAAACACCTCATTTTTGCTTCATGAGATTATATGTGTAAGTGAAGTTGAGTGTAAAAAAATCTAATTTGAATTCTAAATCTTCAAAGCTAAACCTGTCCTTAACAGATATTTCTTCCAGTAATAGGCTGATTTCACAGAAAGTTTTTATGCAGTGGTCACCCCCCGCCCCGCACTATCCAAGGGTTATAAAATTTCAGTTACCTGGAATTCTGCTAATTATGCCACAAAATATGAAAAGCTGTTTGGGGGCAAAGATCAATTTAGGTTTAAGAAGAAATAGCAACTTGAGCATTAAAAATATCTGCACTTTCCACAAGATGGGTCAATCATTAAACAAACAGACCCATTGTTTAGAATCTCAAGTCATCCTATTATTCTTGTTACTTCTTTAAGCAATAAATGAACATGTTCCTCAAACAAAACTCCTTAAACAAATTAAATGATTTATGGTTTTTTTTTTTCAAATGCACACCACAGCTGCATCAACGAGCAAAAGAAAGACGTCTTGCAGTAAAGAACTACTTGAGGAAGAATAAAAAGCAGGAGTACAAAGTACATAAAATGAGCGTAGTTTAAGATTTTGAAAGAAAAGACATTCTAACATCAGAGAGTTTTCCCACAACCTGAAACATCTGAGTTATCACTTAGTACCCAGTGTTTCTCATTTTCTTGTGCTCAAAGCTTTGGCAGGTGTCAGGATATTGGCAATATCTCTTAAGGGCGGTATTGAGATCTCTGCTCTTGGATGTACTCATAGAGAGGGCTGGAGCGCACTGGGACATTGGCAAACTGACGAGCGCCGGGCTCCAGAAGCCGCCCATAACCCTTGCCTTCTTGGGTTTGGGTCTCCCGGACTTGGCGGCGCCTCTGTTCTTCCTCCTGCTGGCGGCGGAGCTGTTCTTCCCGGAATTTCCTTTCCCGTTCCTGGCGACGTCTCTGCTCTTCTTCTTGCCACAGTTCTTGTGCCTGATGACGACTCTGCTCCTGCCTGGCAAACTGCTCCTCCGCCCGGTGCTGCCGGTCTGGCTCCTGTCGGCGCCTCTGCTCTTCCTGCTCCTCAAGCTGCAGCTGCTCTTCTTCCCTGCGATACTTTCTGTCCCGCTGTTGGCGGCGCAGCTGCTGTTCCTCCCTCTCCTGGCGGCGCAGCTGTTCTTCCTCCCTCTCCTGGCGGAGCTGTTCCTCCTCGCGGAATTTTCTGTCGCGCTCCTGGCGGCGCAGCTGCTCTTCCTCCCTCTCCTGGCGGAGCTGTTCCTCCTCGCGGAATTTTCTGTCGCGCTCCTGGCGCAGCTGTTGTTCGCGTTCCTGGCGGCGCAGCTGCTGCTCCTCCTCGAGGAATTTTCTGTCACGCTTTTGGAGGCGCAGCTGCTGTTCTTCCCTTTCCTGGAGCAGCTGTTCCTCCTCGCGGAATTTTCTGTCTAGTTCCTGGCGGCGGAGCTGGCGATCTTCCCTTTCCTGGTGGAGCTGCTCCTCCTCGCGGAATTTTCTGTCGCGCTCCTGGCGGCGCAGCTGCTCTTCCTCCCTCTCCTGGCGGAGCTGTTCCTCCTCGCGGAATTTTCTGTCGCGCTCCTGGCGGCGCAGCTGCTCTTCCTCCCTCTCCTGGCGGAGCCGTTCCTCCTCGCGGAATTTTCTGTCGCGGTCCTGGCGCAGCTGTTGTTCGCGCTCCTGGCGGCGCAGCTGTTGCTCCTCCTCGCGGAATTTTCTGTCGCGCTCCTGGCGGCGCAGCTGCTGTTCGTCCTCGAGGAATTTTCTGTCGCGCTCTTGGCGGCGCAGTTGCTGTTCCTCCGTTTCTTGTAGCTGCTGTTCCTCCTCACGGAATTTTCTCTCTCGTTCCTGGCGGCGCAGCTGCTGTTCCTCTTCTAGGAATTTTCTGTCGCGCTCCTGGCGGCGCAGCTGCTCTTCCTCCCTCTCCTGGCGGAGCTGTTCCTCCTCGCGGAATTTTCTGTCGCGGTCCTGGCGCAGCTGTTGTTCGCGCTCCTGGCGGCGCAGCTGCTGCTCCTCCTCGAGGAATTTTCTGTCACGATTTTGGAGGCGCAGCTGCTGTTCTTCCCTTTCCTGGAGCAGCTGTTCCTCCTCGCGGAATTTTCTGTCGCGCTCCTGGCGGCGCAGCTGCTGTTCCTCCGTTTCTTGGCGCTGCAGTTCCTCCTCACGGAATTTTCTCTCTCGTTCCTGGCGGCGCAGCTGCTGTTTCTCTTCCAGGAATTTTCTGTCACGCTCTTGGCGCAGCTGCTGCTCCTCCCTTTCCTGGAGCAGCTGTTCCTCCTCGCGGAATTTTCTGTCGCGCTCCTGGTGGCGCAGCTGCTGTTCGTCCTCGAGGAATTTTCTGTCGCGCTCTTGGCGGCGCAGCTGCTGTTCCTCCGTTTCCTGGAGCAGCTGTTCCTCCTCACGGAATTTTCTCTCTCGTTCCTGGCGGCGCAGCTGCTGTTCCTCTTCTAGGAATTTTCTGTCGCGCTCTTGGCTGCGCAGCTGCTGTTCTTCCCTTTCCTGGAGCAGCTGCTCCTCCTCACGGAATTTTCTGTCGCGCTCCTGGCGGCGCAGCTGCTCTTCCTCCCTCTCCTGGCGGAGCTGTTCCTCTTCACGGAATTTTCTGTCGCGCTCCTGGCGGCGCAGCTGCTCTTCCTCCCTCTCCTGGCGGAGCTGTTCCTCTTCACGGAATTTTCTGTCGCGCTCCTGGCGGCGCAGCTGCTCTTCCTCCCTCTCCTGGCGGAGCTGTTCCTCTTCACGGAATTTTCTGTCGCGTTCCTGGCGCAGCTGTTGTTCGCGCTCCTGGCGGCGCAGTTGCTGCTCCTCCTCGAGGAATTTTCTGTCACGCTCTTGGCGGCGCAGCTGCTGTTCCTCCCTTCCCTGTAGCAGCTGTTCCTCCTCGCGGAATTTTCTGTCTCTCTCCTGGCGCCTCTTCTCTTTTTCCTCTCTCAGCAACTGCATTTCCTCTTGGAATTTCCAGTCGCGCCCGTTGGCTTCCTTTTGCTCTTCTCGCCTCAGCTCTTCTTCCTCTGGGAGTTGCCTGTCGCGCTGCTGCCAGCGCCGCCTCTCTTGCTCGCGGTCTCTCTCTTGCTGTTCATCCAGCAGGGGCTGCAGATCCTGCCGGAATTGTCTGTCACGCACCTGGGAATCTTCCAACTGCCGGAGCTGTTCATTCTCTCTACGTTTGCGGTAAACCCTGTTATTACGAATTGCATTTTCTTTTTCTGGTTCCCACTGCCATTTCAGGTCACGGCGCTGATCCTCATCCCGGTACCGCCGCTTTCTGTCCTGGCGCTGAAGCTCTTCCTCCTCCCAATACTGCCTCTCCGGCTCCTGGCGCCTTCTCTTCTCGCGTTCTTCTCTCAGCAGCTGCTCTTCCTCCTGCTGCAGCTCCTCTTCCTCGCGGTACTGCCTCTCCCGCTCCTGGCGCCTTCTCTTCTCCCGTTCTTCTCTCAGCAGCTGCTCTTCCTCCTGCTGCAGCTCCTCTTCCTCGCGGTACTGCCTCTCCCGCTCCTGGCGCCTTCTCTTCTCCCGCTCTTCTCTCAGCAGCTGCTCTTCCTGCTGCTGCAGCTCCTCTTCCTCGCGGTATTGTCTCTCCCGCTCCTGGCGCCTTCTCTTCTCCTGCTCTTCTCTCAGCAGCTCCTCTTCCTCCTGCTGCAGCTCCTCTTCCTCGCGGTACTGCCTCTCCCGCTCCTGGCGCCTTCTCTTCTCCCGCTCTTCTCTCAGCAGCTGCTCTTCCTGCTGCAGCTCCTCTTCCTTCTTCAGCTGCTCGCGTAGGGCCGGCTTGGCGTACAGCGTGTGGCGGCGTCTCTTCCTTTCTTCTTCTAGTTGCCACCTCCATTTTTGGTCGCGGCGCTGTTCCTGGCGTCGCCTCTTTTCCTGATCCTCATGGAGGCCGTCCTCCTCCTCCTGGAGCTGTTGGGAGCGCTCCCGCCGCTGGAGCTGCTCTTCTTCCTCCAGGAACTGCAGCTCTTGCTCCCTCTCGAGACGCTGCTCCTTCTCCTCCTCCTCCTGGAGAAACCGTTGTTCTTGCTGCAGGCGCTCCTCTGCCCTCAGCTGCCTCTCCCGCTGTTCCCGCGACGAGGGCCTGACCGACAGCCTCTGTTGGCGCCTCTCGCTCTCTTCCTCAGCCTGCCACTGCCATTTGAAGTCCCGGCGCTGCTCCTCCTGCAGCTGCTGCCGGCGAGCGGGTTCCTCCTGCCGTTGCAGCTCACGCTCCCAGCGCCGCCTCTTCTCCTGCTCTTGGCGGCGCCTCTGCTCTTCCTGCCTGCGGGGCCTCGAGTAGACTTTACTTTGCCGTGCGTCGGCCTCCCTTTCTAGCTGCCACTGCCACTTCGGGGTGCGGCTCTTAATCCGCTCCCGGACCTGTTCCTGCTCCTCCTCTTCAGCCAGCTCCTGCTCGCGCCTCAGCCGCTGCTCGCCCCTCTCCTCCTGCTCGCGCCTTAGTTGTTGCTCGCGCCTGTCCTCCTGCTCGCGCTTCAGCCGCTGCTCGAGCCTCTCCTCCTGCTCGCGCTTTAGTTGTTGCTCGCGCCTTAGTTGTTGCTCGCTCCTGTCCTCCTGCTCGCGCTTCAGCCGCTGCTCGAGCCTCTCCTCCTTCTCCTCACGCCTCAGCTGCTGCTCGCGCCTCTCCTCCTCCTCCTGCTCGCGCTTCAGCCGCTGCTCGCGCCTCTCCTCCTGCTCGCGCCTTAGTTGTTGCTCGCGCCTTAGTTGTTGCTCGCGCCTGTCCTCCTGCTCGCGCTTCAGCCGCTGCTCGCGCCTCTCCTTCTCCTCACGCCTCAACTGCTGCTCGCGCCTCTCCTCCTCCTGCTCCCGCTTCAGCTGCTGCTCGCGCCTCTCCTCCTCCTCCTCGCGCCTTAGTTGCTGCTCGCGCCTCTCCTCCTCACGCCTCAACTGCTGCTCGCGCCTTAGCCTTTGCAGCTGCTGCTCTTCCTCCTGGCGCTCCCTCTTCAGCTCTTGCTGCTCCCGCTTCTGTACCTGCTCTTCTTCCACTTGGAGCTCTCTTTGCCGCTGCGGTTCATCTTCCAGGCGCTCCCTTTGCTCTTGCCTCTCCCGTGTTTGCAGCTTCTCTTCTTCCTCCTGGAGCACTCTCTCTTGCATCTCTCGCCTTTGCTGCTGCTTCTCCTCACGGCACTCCCTCCTCAGCTCCTGCAGCTCCCGCCTTCTCTGTTGCTCTTCGTCTGGAAGCTCCTCGTTGCGGCGCTGCCTATCACGCTGCTCAAGTCGCTCTTGTTTCTCCCTTTGCTCCTCTACCTCAGTGAGCTCCCTCTCCTGTTCCTGCCTCTTCTGCCTCCGTCGTTGCCCAGATTCTCCTTCCAGTTGTCTGCCCTGGTGCTCGAATCTCCTTTGGTCTTCTTGCTTGCGATCTTGTAACAGGTTCTCCTTTCCATCCCAGAGCGGTCGCTTGTCTTCATCTAGTCCCGTGGCCTGGTCCAGAGCATAGTAACAAGCTTGAGCCACTTTGAAAATGAATAGGAGGAATTCATTGAAATCGACATGCCCGTTACAGTCACGATCCAGAAGTTCCAGGATCAGATCTACCGTCTTGGGGTCATGTGGTCTCTATAATAATAATGAAAACAAAAATTTTACAATGTACTGTTTACAGGTAGTAAAATTGTATTCACACATGATGTATTTTATAGTATGCACACACTCAAGAGACATTCAGAGCAATTAGAAAAATGCCCAGTGTGTATCAAGTCTTGTCCCCGTGTAAAATGTGAACCCTCATCTTGGGAATTTTTGCATCTCGTAATTTAGTGCTGACCAAACTGGAGGACGAAGGAAGAGAGACACAAAACAGAATAGCCGGTAAGCCTACACACCTTAGAGGCAGGGCTTGAAATGAAGATTCAAAACTGCGTCGTGAACCTATGTGCAAAATTAACAAAGCTACTCAACCTCAAGAAAGAATAAACAAGTTCCCTTTAACTGAGTGAGAGTGAACTCATCCTTGAGAGAGCTACAATGGAAACTAATGAAGATTTGAAGTAGTCCCTTCTGTCTGAAGTGGCCAGTATTCTTGATTTGGTTTCTATTCCATATTAGAAAAGAGAACAAAACATTTATGGGTAGCACCATTTTAGCAGAGATCAGGCTGATCTCAGTCTTGAAATTGGAAACAAATTAGATTTTCTCCAAATCTAATTTGATTTGACATCTTTTGTAGTAATGTCCCATGAAGAGCTCATTTACATGGCCACACCATCAAGTACATGAAATACTTTATTATTCAGACCACAATGCCAAGTAAGTACCTTCTGACTCAGAAATGAATGGGGGATGTAGTGCAGACGAGTTGTTGTGTAATATGAATATAGAGCCACCATTCCTTGCTCTGGTTTCCTCAGAATAAATCTCATAGCCTCAAGTAAACAGATCTCCTTTTATTAGTTCTTACCCGAAGCACAGCTCCAAATTCTCTTTCAAGGAGGTTCTTCAGGTCTTTCTTAGTTAATGCTGCTCCATCGCAATCATGTGAGACATACTGATTGAAAATTTCAATGATGTCACAGATGCTTCTCAGAAGTGGAGACATTTTTTTCTTTCTTTCAAGCTCAAGTAAACCTAGCAATAAAATAAGATCCAGAATCAAAATCTCATTTCTGCTCTTGGGAAAGCTTCATTGACACTATTTCAGGCAGATCCCTAAATAATTTGAATTTATAGAAGTACTTTCAACCTGGACTTTCAGAGCATTTTAACCTTTGAATATTGTATCAGAAAGAGAAAAAGTGATCCTGAGAAATTCCAAGCCAGGGAATCATCTTCAGGCTATCCTATAGTCAGCTTTTGATTGTTCACCCAATGTGGATTATCTATGTCCTTTTCTTCTCTATTTCCTCCAGCTCCCCAGCATATTTCAGAGCAGACAATAAAGATAGCAGTGCAGAAATCAAAATTTGATATATTTCTACTCATAAACACCTTCCTTTAAAGTTGAGCAAAAAGGACAGGTAAAAGCCAAAAGGTGAAGGAAGACTTGAGAGTATCTTAAAGTGGATAGTGGCCATGTCAGCAAAACATTTGGTAGAAAATAGAACAATGAAGGGAATGTGAATTGTTCCCGAACATTACAGTCCATAAGGAATTTAGGAACTCTTATAGAATATAATTCATAAGCCAGCAATTTTAAGATTAAATAGTACTTCTTCCTAGTCAAAAGATGGTAACATTTAGATACACACATGCAGAAAACAGAGAGTGTATGTTATCTGCTCCAACTCAGATATAATGTAGATATTCAGATACTGAAGTATTGAAAGCTTCTGAGAGGTCCTTTCTGAACCAAACAATCTAGAAAACTGTGAATGATATTGGTTTTCCTGGAATCTTGGCTTTTTAGAAAACATTAGCCAGCAGTAGGTCAACGTTATAAGAATACATGGATGGCATTACTGGCAGGGTATGTGAAGTGGTTCATCTAGCTAACTTCTTTATCTGCTTCTCAACTCCAATATCTTAGATGCTGTAACTGTATGAAGATGGCTAATATTAGGTAGAACCAATGTAAAAGAGAACAGAGGGTTGGCAAACTTTTGAGATGGAAGTTTTTAGGAAGATGAATCCTATCAGAGCCACACATGATCATCTTTGATGTGCGTTAAGTATAGAGTTCAGAGCCCAGGGAGAAGGGTTATGTTTCAGTTCAAGTGATGGCTCCAATCATAAGAAGATGGAAAAGAATTAGTAAAAGTTTATTTATCCCTGTAAGATACCGATACATTCTGGCACATAGAACCTCCCCCCATACCCCAACATCTGAAATAGCTATAAAAATGGAGAATCATAAAGAAGACCATAATCCCACAGAATGGGACTTACCCACTTCACCAGAGGAAGAAGTCCAGTGCTCGCTGACACCACGGGCAAGTGTACTGGGTAACTGGAAGCTGGGCCTTTTATAGAGGTTTTAATTGTGCCCTGGAGAGCAACTTGGGAAGGAGACGCCCACTCTGTGGGACAGCCTGATTCATTCCTAACAAGCCCAGCTCCACCTCTGTCTCCACAAATGGCTTGTTTATCTCACTATTTGCTCACGTAGCTCTTTGGCACAAGGTTCACAGACCTTGCTTCCTGACAATCAGGGTAATGGCCCCACCTAACATAAGAGGGTAAAATATTTGGCAGAATCTCCAATTTTCTTTATTTGTTAAAACTAAATTAAACAATAAAACAAAGGTATTAAATCTTTAGAATCTTAATTGCTTATTACTTCATTACAAAGGAGTGACCCCTAAGCCATTTGCTTTATAAAAGATACAAGCTCTAGTTTGGGATTAAGCAGAAACTTTGAAATAAACTGATGAAAACCAATTAATTTCTCTATGGGATGTGACAGTCCATGGTGAGCTGCTCATAAGCCCCGCCAGAAGCAATTGCTTCAATTCTAGGGCAATGAAAGAGATGCAAAGAATTGCATCTTAGTTTCTTCTCTAAAAATGCAGGTGGGAAAAATTTTTACATTTGTATTCCTGGGTCTTACGAGGGTTTTCTTACAGACTGGGGACTGCCTCCTCAGTAAACAGTTTGGGAGGGTACCTTAGAAATATATTTTTATTAAATCATTCATAAGAAACCTTGAAATCTGTGAAATTTCATTCTTAGAGATATTAAACTTAAATGAAGTTTGTTCATTAGTTTTCTCATTAGCATATTGATGCTCCTCGGGAAAAAGAGCTGGTGTAATGCATTATTGTAGATATAATCATCCTACTTAGCCTCAGTTACTAATGATTATCACATCTAAACACTTGAGTCTGCTTCTCCTGGAAGCACATTGAGGTAATCGGTTATTCTAGCCCATTATATCCATCAGGGCTTTCTCAATTCGGTTGATCATCTGCAAATTTCAGTGCTGTTTTATTGTAAAGAATTGGATTTTATCCATGGTTGTCAGTGACTTCCATCCTTACATTTCAGACTATATGAAACTTTGACGATAGTCTGAAATGTAAGGTTTATGAAGACTATTGGATGATTCAATGGCTTCTCTGCACTTTTGTTTCATCCTTTGTCCAACGGAGGCATGTATTGGTTTTCTGAATTTTGAGGCAATTGTAGGGTCCTTCAATGGCATGAGTGAAAATTTGGAATCCAATTCTTGGTGGCTATTTCTTTATGTGCAGATTGGTCCAAATTATAATGGAATTCAACTCCGTATGCCCCCTCACTTGCTGCCATCCCAGATATGGCGTTAAGAGGAAGGTAGAAGTGACAGGGAATGGTAAGACAATTATAAGCATGGCTCATTTCTGCCTCTTAAAGGCTTCAACACTGAAGTCTAGGATTTTATGCAGATCTCTTACTCTTTGGATTCTAAGATAAGACCATCATAAGCACTGACCACACTGCAATCATGAGTGTTCCTCAAGGAATAACCTGGACAAGGCTTGCCTTAGGTCTGCTTTTGTTTGTATCCTCCAGTGTGTGATGTATTGGGAAACCTCATATTTTTCTATAGGGAATAAACCCAAAAGGGAACTGGAAATTGTTAGGTTCCCTGAAAATAAAGAGAAAAGTAGCATCAACCATTCAAAATTATAAATAGAATGGCAATTCCCCCCACCCATGTGCTTTTGAACAGCCTTGAAAAATACCCCAAATTGCATTCATTATAACAGAAAAACTCTTCCCCCTCTCTGAATGAAGCTAGATTTTAAAATTCAGTGATGGTTCGTCTACCCACTCTTATTAAAAGTTAGTTCAGCATAAGGGAAAATATTCAAAAACCTGCATTAACCTAAGAAAATTGGCCTCCATTTCTGCTCTTGGTCCATCATCAGAAAGTAAAGTAGATTAAGATGTTAAATCCAAAATCAAGTTTGAAATTCTCCTAGTGAAGTATCTTCATTGCTACATAATATTCTTTTAGTTTATACACTGTCATTATTTGAGAATATCATTTTAAAAGGAGTCAGTGACATAAAATTTGGACAGTGAAATAGTTTCCATGGCCTTCTAGTTTTTCAAAAGGTTGCTAAAGGCTAATGAATGTAGAAAATTATCAAATCCTAACCAAACGGTTCAGTCTATTTTTAATTGAGACCAACTGAGAGTTCTTGAAATGTAGTACTGTTCCTTTACTGTGGACCATCAAAAAATAAAAATATTGTTACAATCTGAAAGATCTCCTTATTTTTTATAGACTAAAACCTCCAATATCACTCTTTTTTAAGACTGGAGACTGAGGCACCGAAAGGTCAGAGAATATTGCTGACTGGCCTGGGAATGACCCAGGTCTCCCTGCTCCATTTCTGCAAGAATGCCCTTCTTTATCAGAACGTATCTATAGTATAGCTATAGTATTATCCTGGTATTTGGTGTTGAGACTTGAGCTCTTTATTACAGAAGAATTAAAAAGAGAAAATAAAATTTATATTACTTAGATGCTTTAACATTATATTAATATGAAGCCCCTGTCACTTTCGAAATCTTTGGGGGTGGGGCTCTGCTGGATTAATAAACAAACACATAAAAAACTAAGAGTATTAGATTTTCCTAGTCTTTATCTCATTCAAGGGCTCATCTCCTATTTTCTCCTATTAGAAGCCAGAAAAGAAGAGATAGATTTGACATGTTGTGACATTTACCTGGCCCAGATCCTGACTTAGCTCAACCGGATAACTTCCAGAGTGAAGATTTAGATAAAGCAGAGTTTCTATTGTCATCTTTAACCTAATGGACTTCTCCAGAACCCAGTATGAACTATGATGTTGACATTCTAGGAAAATGTTCAAAGAAGGGTAATTCTACGTGGCTTTGAAAAAATGTAAGATGCTTCAAACAGCTCTCCATCAAAGACTTCTTTAAAAAACTGTGTGTTAAAATTTTCAAGTTTTTCTATTGTTTCTTTGTATTCATTGACCCACCTCTTGGATCTCACCTCTGTCAATCTAAAACCTAGTATAGTTTCTTTCAGGCCCCAGAGAAGTTCAGTCTCCTCTTCAAAAACCTTCTTTGACCTTTACATGGAATGATCTTTAAATTAAAATTTTTTTCCCCTATAGCATACATAGCATCATATAATTTAGTACTAGTTAATGTGTAATTTTTATATTCTTCTCTAGTTTAATGGGTGCTTGTTTTGTCTTCTCAATTAGGTTTTAAATTTTTTGAAGGTAATTCTGTATCGTTTATTCCTAATAGATGTTCAAAAAAATGCTTGCTGATATGATATAATTTTATTGCATTGTGGCAGTTTAAATGGCCAACAGGTTAGAATGAGATGAATCACTTGATCCTGGAATGAACCAGCCGTTTGCGTGATGGCTTGGAGATGAAGGTATTCACCTTAATAAGAGTCAGCCTTTCTGAGACCTCTTTCTAGTTTCACCACTTACAGGACAGATGACAGAGGAGGCAGTACTCCACCCCCTTCTGCCTTCCCTGATGTCCATTGCTTCATCCCACTGTTAAATGAGGAACTGTAAGATATGAATCCCTTCCTCAGAGGGGAGCTGTGATAATTACAGGTGTAAAGCATTTTGTGATTCTTAGATATGAAAGAGCTAATTATTATTGTCATTAATAATTCTTAATTTTTATCTTCTTTAAGGTAAATTACCCTTACTTTAATTACACCCCCACCCTGGTGGTAATTATACCCCTGAAAGTCAGCAGATACTTTTATCTTACATCATGCCATGCAGGGTGACTGGGCACGGTTGCCAGAAAGGGTATTTCTACCATCTGCCAGCTCCTGCTGTCACCTAGAGTAGCAGAGGGCTCCTGGCTGTCTTTGTCGTCAAACTGATTATGGATTTCAAGTGATTTGTATTCTCTGTTCTATAACAGTATCTTTATCCTAACCAGTAGCTCCCCAGTTTCATGAAGACACACTAAATGGTACAAAGGAATTTTTGTAATTTGATGAATACTGTGAATTAAGAAAGCATATATCTTTCACTGGGCCATAGAGGCTTTATGGTATCAATTATAAAGAGGTTCTCAACTGCAGTATGAAACAAGAGCCGTAGCTCCTCAAGGGTAGAGGTGCTGTGTGACATTCCAGATTCTTCTTGGACTTAGATGTGCTTCTAATAGAAATCGTAAGCTACTTTTTGGGATAAGAGGATTTGTATGTGAAGAACTGAAAAAAAATGTTTTGAGAAACATTTTGCTTCTGACAAAAAGGCATACCATAAAAAGTTTGGAACTGAGGCTTCACACATAATAGATACTTTGGGTGTGGGAATAAAGGTCATGGCCTCCCAAATGTGGAAAAGAGCGCAGGCAGGCATGTGTCCATCTGGAGTGAAATGTTTTCTCCAGGCCCAAACATCCTGTAACTACTTCATGTCATGATATAATTATGGAGTCCTAATACCGGGTGTTTCAGCACCATGAATCCTACTCTGTCCCCGAAGTAAGGATGGCAGTAGGAACAAGGCAGGAGGGTGGGTGGCAGTGTTGAGTGTTTGGTGACCTTCTTTCTGATCCTTCCTCTCAGAGTGCTGCATGCTTCTCTGGAGCGCCACCTTCCCTTTCCCCCTCAGCGTCTTTCTTTCGGCTTCTTTCCTTTCCTCATTTCCTCTTCTCTTCTCCTTTTAAATTTCTCGTTTCCCATCTCTCTCAAAACCATTTAAATCTCAGGTAGGGAAATAGGATAGGGATGAAGAGACTTCAAGGGAACCAGCCAAGGTCTGTGTGCCTTTGCCTCAAGTGAGGAGCTGATTGAGTTCATAGGATTGGTGAAGAAGCAGAAGACAGGCTATGGCCTTTTTGGTTCTTCTCTCAGTGAGTTTCTTTTGGTCCATAAGCGTTGATTGAACCCTTTGCTCTACCATAAGCATTGTTTACAGTAACAGGAGGCATTCCACCCTACCTCCCGATGATTTGGAGTAGGATATGTTATGGTAAGAAAAGTTT